CAAGGAAACTACTTGTCGTTTGCGTGTTTGGAAACGACAAGCAACGCTTTGTTTATTGTTGGTCAATTAATTCAATTAATACTTTGTTTTATTAATTTTAATTTCAAATTTCTACCATTTTATAAACGTCTTGCCGTTGTGGAAAATAAAAAGAAGAAACTACTTGCCGTTTGTTTGTCTCGCCGAGGTTTTAGGTATCAACGAGGGGCATTTCTGACTTCACCACTCGACGTTTCTTACGTTTGGACTTCGCAGCGAGACATGCCTGGCGATACGGCGGTTAAGGCCATGGAGACGACGGAGCCGGTAGGAAATAATCAGAATTCCGGTAAGAGTAATTCGAAGGACGCCGAGTCAACAGATATCGAGTTCAAGATTCTCGCGGCTATGCGATCCCGCGTAACTGACCTCAGAGACAAAGCAGAGTAGAAATAATCTTTGTCTCTCATTCTCTTCCTATAACACTATGTAGTAAATTATGTGTACGCGATTGAGTACCTTCCATTGTTCTTCTGGTCTCACTTTGATCTCAATGTTGTTTCGTGAAATGTGTCGGAAATGTGTCGGAGATGTGTAATGGAAGCTGTTTGAAGTAGCATCGAGTGTTTGCTTAGCATCAATCAACAGGAAGCTAAAACTGGATTTTACAAAACATCTGTGCATTAGTCTTTTTGAGACATTCTTGTCTTATGTGTGTATAAGTGATGATGACTTAGCTACATGAAAGCATTTCAATATTTTTGAATAGTAGAATCATTTGGAGTTTTGCTTTTGCAGTTCTTTCACCTTCGTGAGTGTGCGGAGGCTGCTGGAGGAAGATATGGGATTGGATAAATATGCTTTGGATGTGCATAAGGGCTTTGTCAAGGAGCATCTGGTCAAGGTATCTTTCCTTTTTTTATGGTTAATACCAAATAGTTCGCATGAAACAAGAAGATAATGGAACATCACACTCTTTGCTGAATCCTTTTGACTACTTTTGCCACCTGAGAGCTCGGATGTTTCCTTTCTTAATGGTGCAGTGCTTAGTAGATGCTGGGAATGACGGCGATTCAGAAAACTCTCAAGAAACTGAGAGTAAAGACGATGGCAGTCCAATCAAATAGGCAACCGGTGATGGTGAGAAAGCAAAAGATTCCCCTGAGAACACATCCAAAACTGTAGCTAAAAATATGAAGGATGAGGGGAATAAAGAAGCCCTAATGAATGATATAAGGAAAGCCCTGCGAAAAAGAGCTTCTTACATTAAGGCTAATTCAGAGTAAGTAAATGAATGCAGTTAGGAATTCAATCAAAAAATTTCTACTTCATGACTAAATAAAGTTATATTTTTCTGTTTACTTAATCACTAGCTTTTTTTCAGGAAAATTACAATGGCTTTACTTCGTCGACTTTTGGAGCAAGATCTTAAGTTAGAGAAGCATTCTCTTGATTCCTATCTCTTGAAGAAGTTCATTAACAAAGAATTAGATGAAGTGAGTACTTTAAATTGATTATATACCTTTCGAGTAAAACGGGGAGGCAGTCTTTTGATAGTTTTATTGGTTAAATAGATACTACAAATTCCTAATTCACCAAAACGTTCCACTGAGCCTATTGGGAAAAATCTAAAGAAAAATGTCAAGAGCACACCATCTTAGAAGCTAGAAAGTGAAGAAGATTCTGATTCAGATGCTGAGGGCAATGAGGATGACGAGGAAGTGGCTGTGAAGAAGGCAACAACCCAAAAAAGAAATCTATCAAAAACAGAGATGACGGGAAAGCGAAAACGTGAAACGGTATACTAGTATCTGCGAAAAAGAAAGCAAAACATACAGACACAGATTCGGAGAGTGACAGTGATGCAGGGGATAGTGTAACGATGGAAGATAATGGTCATTCTCAGTCCTCTTTTGAAAAACCTTTGAAGGTACAACATCATTGGTTGTGATTATCTTGAATTCCATTAACACTTTGTACAGTTTACATATGTTGTTTCTGCTTTTATATGTTATTCAACAGCGGACAAAGGAGACTGCAACTGCTGCGTATGAAAAGCGTGTTGAGCATCTCAAATCAGTCATCAAATCTTGTGGGATGAGGTTTTAATGAAACTTGGTAGATCGTTAAAAAGCTGTGTCTGTTCATACTGGTT